ACTAAGTAGTTCCAGCGTTGACCGCTCGATAGCGCCGCTTACCCGCGCTAGAAAAAATCAGTCCGGGAACTTTCCGGACAAACTGTGTATGTATGAATTTGCTTTGTGATTGTGGAATTTGCAGTAATCACAAAGATGTGTTTGAAGCTACGTTATTGAAATTTAAATTATTGAAATCTACTTAATTAAGTCACAAATAACTTTAGCCACAGAAGATCAAACGTTACAAATATAAACTGTTGTTACATAAAATTGAGAAATACAAAAGCGTGTATTTCTCTTTCTCACACGATTACTCAAAACAATCATATCTACAATTGTGTAGGTAGAAGAATTAGAGATTAAGAGTTAAATGGAATGTTAGTCTATGATGTTTTTTTTTTTATTATCTTAAGTATAAAAAAGATATAAATACGTGATGTTCTATAAATTACAATGCAATCAATGAGTAGTGAATTAAGCAAAGAAAATAAGAGTTTTATGTGCCTATAAGTTTAATCAAAGATTATTACAAATAAAATAGTCTAGAATGTTCAAGAAAAATGTCAATAAAATTATTAAATACTTATTACAGAGAATATAAAAATTTAACATTTTAGAAAAAAATTATAAAAATAGAGACATCTCTCCTTTTTAAATATATTTAAAACATGAGCTATAATTGTAAGATATATACTTGTATATAAATTTTTTGTTGTTGAAAAGTTACTAAAAAATTCGAAATCAGTATATTATGAATAATTAGTTTTCACTTCTATAGAGCATATATAGTTCCTCGCGTGTTCTATATTGTGAAGAGAAAAAATTTCATTATTTCCATATAATAGTTATGTAATGAAATAATACACAGCCTATATATATGAACTTAAATAGTTTACATAAACGAATTCAGTAGTGAGATATTTTTTGCAAATCAAACGTCATTCGTCGATAATCGACCTACATTCATAAAAATTGACAATAAATGCGAACATTATCCATTAGGTTTCTTACTTGTTCTAGTATAATTGTCTAAATATCACAATGTTGATAAAATCATGTATTTTTAATATATGACGGTGCTGTAAATTTTCATAGACTGTAACACACACATACATTCGCAAAATATAATATTCAAATATTACAATTAAAAATTAAAGAATATTTTATTATGGATCTTTTTTATTAATTCCTTTACTAGTTGAGGAAATATATGCGCGTTTAATTGCATAAAATAATTGACAAAGCTTGAATGACAATTAGATTATATATTTTTTCTTTTTCGCACATTTAACTGGAATAAGTTGCAATTGAGTACTGACCTTGCAAATTATAATAAGTTAAACATCTATTTCGCGAATATTTACAATGTGGTATATGAATCACTTATACAATATTATTTACCGTTTTAATATATGTGTACATATACATATATATTTATGTATACACACACACACATATAATTTTTACAATTTTTAATCTAGATACTAATCGCCAAATATAATCCTAATAATCATAAATTACATGCTTTATATAATTGGTAAATGTGCCTTACATATAAGTAATAAATGTGTACACAGTAGTACCTTGTTAAGAAAAGCAAAACCTACATTGTTACAAGAAATTCATCCGCATCCCTATTACAGTCGTAAAAGCTAACCGATCCTTTCCTCACAGCGAGATGTCGTCACAATGGTGTCATGTTCACTACCAATTTCTTTCTCGTTTTATCCTTTATTCTTTTACGTTTTTTATCACATATCGGTTTGCCTCAAGCGACCTAAATAATTCTTTCAGAAAAAAGATCTTTTTAAGCTACCTGTTTCCTGACCTAAAATTGTTTACTTAACGAAACACCACTGTACTTGAAAAATCAATCTTTTAAAAAGTTCAGCTTTTAGCCTATTTGTCGTATTAGTCTATTTTAGACATGGTCACAAATTACAGAATAGTTAATTAGTAGATTTACAAGAAACTATTTCATTGCTGAGGTTTGCAAATTTACAATTGCTCTCTTTCTCTCTCTCTCTCTCTGTTTCTCCACGGGTGTGTTCGGTTTGGATGCTTTAAGCGTTAGTCTATCTTTATTGCTCATTAATCGGGCATCGTATTAACTGGACAATTGATTACTGTTTATGCATTATCTCAGAATTTTGGGGGAAATTCATCATCATCGATAATTTTGTACAATAAATTCTTTACGTTACATATAAATTTTATACATAACATATTATATATATTAATACCGGATATATAAAATTCTATACGAATTTTATGTAAAAACCCTTTGTGACAAAATATGTATGTATACTGCGATCGCGGTTAAAGAGTTAAAAATAAAACGATAGACTGACGCTCGCGCTAGCGTCCAAAGCGAACGCACCTTGAATGAACTCGTGCGGATATAAAAAAAAACACACTTCACACTTTAAATATAAACATGCTGTTAAAAAAAAAAAAAGTACAAAAAGAGAGCTACTACAGATATTTCGCATCTTGTGTGCGTTACAATTTCGGTATCTATACATGTGTCGTTGCTATAATTCATCGCAAAAATCAGAACATATATACGGTATAATAGTTGAAATAACGCTTAATATTACAGACAAGAATCGAAGCTAATCAAACACTAATAAATGAAAATGAGAGAATATAAAACTGATGTCAATTCACTTGTATTAAAAATGCTACTTAATCACGCGGATTTCTAACACGACATAAATAGAGTATATTGTACAAATGATTTAAAAAATATATAAGTTTTTTCTCTCTTGCGTGTACACACACAAGGTACTATCAGATTCGTCAGATTCTTTTGTCTCATCATTAGGAAAGTTTTCTCTAGCACATCACTATATAATTCTCTATAGTGTTAGACAATAAGTAACGACCTTAAATGTTTGTTTTACACTTGCGGAAGTTTTTACTTCCGACTTTTGCCCACCGAAAATTGGGCAAAAAAAAAAAAAAAGAAGAGTATCTTGTTGTTTAAAAATCGGCTACTCCTCGACGACCGTGTTGCTTTTGTGGTGTCGGAAGTGAGAAACAACACGAAGCAAACATTCTCGCGACGTGTAACTTCAATTTTAGTTTTTCTGTGCAAATTTACTATTATCATAATCTTCGGAGTTGCAAAACAAGCAGCAAGGTCAATTTATACTGAAAATGTAGTGTAAAAATCGAAAAATTAAATCCAACAGCTCAGCTGTTTTCTAACCGCTAGTGAGAGCCGAGAAACAGCAGCATTGCTACTTCTACTAGGAATTATTTTACACCTCTACGTGTCAAACATCGAACAGAATTTGCTGTATATTTTGCGAATTAGAAGACTAACGAAAATATTATCTTTTTGAGGAAAAACCAATTTTGCAAGAAACTTTTGCTGTATCATTTCTCGCTTCTGATGCAATAAACACAATATGGTCGCCGAGGAGTAGCCGACTCCCAATAAGTTTTGTATGTTAATTTTATTAATACATAAAAACTGTAGACAAACTGTGTATAATGTAATGAGTAAATATGTTGTTTATTTAATCGTATCAAATGTGTATGTGTGTGTGTATTTAATGCAAAACTTACCATGTGTAATATATGGAACTATATTCGTCTCTTAGCAAGTTACATATTCTTCTCTCAGCTAATTTATATTCGTTACACACATTACTCGAAGCAATGATTTCATTTTCCTGTATATGCTTGATATATCAATGGAACAATGGTCTCACAGCTTCATAAGTTAAAATATCTAGTTTTCGTTTCATTTGTGTGTAATAGGTGTGTGTTTCATATGCTTATACACATACACACATATATTGGAAGTTCTTGAAGTACAACTTTCTGAATTGTATACGGAAATACTACGCATTGTTTCTAACACTTTTTTATCGATTCCCATGCACAAACAAAAATGAAAAAGTTTATACAAATTTCCTATATAACGCTTCTGAAAGTTTACCTAAAAGTTAATATACCAAATGCCGAAACTATACAAATATTTTTTGTTTGATGGGCCCCTCGGAAGTCAAATCTTTCTCTGTATATCAGGCTTGCATGCTGTGCATGATAAAATTGCTCGAAGCGCATACGCTGTAGCTCCTAAAACTTTGCTAAGAGTCATCGGAATATAAAGGAATGACAAACTTGGGTCCGAATGGCGATTTATACGTAATGTTGACGTCGGTATACACTTTGTTCGGCAACGCGAGATTGCACAGATACAATCTGCCGTTGTCGACGCTATGCGATAACGGCAACGCGCCCAATAAGCTGAATTTACTGAGAATACCCGGTGTACCTGTCGCGGGTGGTTCGATGGCAAGCACGGGCGCCCGATTGCTGTTCGCCCACCTAGCGATCGGTGTGATCGTTTTTGGCGAGTCCTCGTCGCAGAGCGCCACGAGTATCAGATCTACCATCGACGGTAGATTCTTGACTTTTGTTTCTACCTTGTTTTCCGTTAATCTATAGAGCGACAGCTCCTGCAGAAGAAACACATCCTCCGCGTTCTCCACGAACACGATCGTCTTGACGCCGTGACCCGACAACTGTCGGGCGCAATTGATGCCCGCAGCGCCAGAACGATGTGGACCGCAAAGCGCTACTACCGTGGGCCATTGATGCGCGTTGTTCGGATTCAATCGATAACTTCCGCCTAACAGCTGCAATGTCAACTCGGCTCCAGCACGACCAAGAAGCTCCACCTTCCAAATAGAAAACATTGAAATATATTAACTCTTTATAACAGTGTACTGTACATATTCCCCCCATTTCTGAAATTATTTTTCTCTTCAATCTCAATTATAAAAGATTAATTGAATGCCAACGTAAATACAAACCCTGCGTTCCCAACTGATTCCCAGTCTATCCGCAGCGCCTATTAACTGTCGATGTAAATTCAAGGTAATACTAGGAATCACTAAACCATTGTCTGTAACGTATTCTTTTTCACCAGGATAAGGCACTACTATCTGTCTAAGTACTGTAGGTTCAGATACAAGAATGTTTTCGTCATGTCGATAAATACCGGTAGTACTTCGATTATTTTCCGACTGTCGAACGATATCTGGTTTCAACGAATTAATTTCTTGCCACACAGCCTGGAAAAAATATATATATAAACTAAAAACTAATATATATATATATACATATATATATATATAGTATAATGCACACAAATATATAAATTATTTCAATAAATATAATAAAGCAAATGAACGATAATGTTTGATTTGCGCAATAAAGAAGAATCAACCTCTTTATTAAACAATGCCAAATTTTTCTCGAAGTCAAAATCTTGCTGTAAGGACTGATCAATTGGAGTACCAAAAGTATGCTCGTCTCTTCCCAAAAGTCTTTGTTTATGTGTTAATCTTTTCGGAACTGATTTGTTAGATGCATTATTTTCAGCTGCAATGAAATCGTTTTGTTATTATACCACAACACATACATTTAATATATCATTTATCTCTCTCGTCCTGTGAGCGTAAAATGCTGCCGCATAACATATACCCGGTGGAATTTTTCCATTCGGAGTTTGATCAATTTGCTGCTGGTTTGATTCTGCTGGTTTTTTCACGTTTGTCTGCGGAGAACTCGTCGCTTGTGGCGCAGGCGGAACACATTCTGAAACTGATCGTCCAGCTCTCTTTGCGATTGGTCTCTTTACAATCACTTTGCTCTGTGACTGGACATCGTTCATGCTAGTTCTTGCTTCTTCAGTTGATATAATCTCGAGTTTTTGTATATCTTTTACACTGCAATAAAAAAAATAAAAAATAACTATGTAATATTATTTAAACAAGATCGAGAGATTTCAATAATGATTGTATAAAATTATATTTACTTACATAAACATTTTTTAAATAGGATTGTTTTATTTACAAATATGCATACATATACGTAGAGAGACACACCAATGTAAAACCAAAACAAATCACAACAATCATAAATATTTATCTTAGAACTACATTTTATGTATGAAGACTACAAACACACAGTTCAAGTTGACTAATCCGTAGTTACCTCAAGATAACAATCGAAGAAGAATGTGGAATGCCGTTACAGAATGTTTTTGCCAATGTCAAACTGTTCTTATTTAAGTCAATAATTTTGCCTTGATAGGCAACATCGTCAATGCATTTCACAGAAACAGTACACCCCAAGAACTGATCAGACATTTTTAACTGCAAATAAAATAAGTTTAACTGTTTATTCTCATTACTATTAGAATTAGTAAGAAAACGGTTAACACCATAACAAAGGATACTAAAAATGTTGAAAAGTATCATAACACAATTGATCTTTTTTTGTATAACTAAAATATACTGTTATTTATATATAATGGTGTTTATATAATCTTAGAGAGTAATGCAGTATAAACGTGTGAATTCTAGAAAATTGATAAATTACAAAAACATGTTAGTTTTCACTGATAAGATAGAGTTTAGGTTAGTTTTTCATATCAACTCTCACAAACCGAAGCTTAAATTCAACCGCATAATGAAAGATCATGTAAACCACATTTATTTACCTGATTTAATCGAGAGACGTACTTAAATAAAGATGATTAGAAAATAAAAAAGTAAATTACAATTAATGCCTATAGCGTATTTCTGCAATCTGACTCTCTTGCACTTCGTTGTAGGCATACAGAGACATACCTATATCGAACCGTTACACAGCATACATTGATAACATACAAGCACAATGTACCGATGTCTTTACTTACATTCGGTATCCGGAGAATCAAGAGAGACGGAACATGTTTATATTCCGTCCTTTTCTTGCAGTTTTCCGTTAGCCGTTGATCGGCTGAAGATAAGAATAATTTGATACGGAAAAAAAATATGGCAAAAATTTGAAAAGTTTATTACTGACACTTTCGCATATATGTAAGTGATTCAAAACTTGTACGACAAAGAAGATTAAGATCGGTCAGGGTCATGTGAAAAACTGTAATAACTTTTCCGCCCTGTAAGCCAGCATTATGTCCTTGGGGTGTTGCACATTGGCAACTACAGCAATGTCCACGAGCGACTTGTGGATGCGTGCGCTATATGTCCAAACGTGAACGTGGTTCTATTCCGCGCTATGTCCACAGCGTGCGGTTTCTCGTTCCCATCCTGAAAGATTGAATTGTTCACATAGCGACATTCTCTTATAGGCCTGGCCGCTCTCAGTCTTCTCTCTGCTGGTTCTAACAAGTTGTTTTCTCAAACACACAGATTAGAATATTTCTAAAAAATGTTTATAAAATTGAAGAAAGTATCTGAGCGATATATAATTATTGAAAATAAATATACACGCGTAACACAAAGATTCAGAGCAAATGCAAATATAAGCGAAAAAAAGTGCGAGAATTTAATAATCGATTAGAGTAGTAGAAGAAGTCTTGGGATGTGCTTAATGGATAAATGGATACTCGCGCAAGGTACGAATTTCCATATAAACATAAAGGTGTTTTGAATAAGGTAACATATTAAGTACCGTGTGATAAAATGCGTGGTGATACATATTGATGTACTATATTTATTTATATCCATTTCTGTAAGTATAATCTTAATGTATCTTTCTTGATTGTACTTGTTACAATGATTAAGGCAACGGTAGAAGCTATATTTAATATGCACATCAGATGTGTATTGCGTATGATCGTTATTAATGTCTTACAAGCGTCCTAAATGTAATAGCTTTTCTTTTGTGTACTGCCAACGTGTGTGTTGCAGTAAAAATTTTTAAACTTATATACATAATATTACATAAAGTAACATTGCGTTAATTATAAAGAAGAAACGTTGTCATTGTATAAATCAATACAAATGAGAGAAAGAGTACACGAAAGCAAACTGTATCACATATTTCTTTGTGCTGCTAATTAAAGTGTAATTTTGTTTACTTATGTGAAAATATAATATACACATTCAGATAAGTTTTAATAATTAATAGTTGTTATCCGTGAGACGATAATAAATAAAGTTTTCTACACACGTTTAGCGTTGCATCTTTCCCGTAGTCATTTCACATTGTCGCTTGCAAAAATAAATCGAATGTGACTTCATGAATAAGACATCTCTGCAAAATAGCATAACGCACATTTGACGTAATACAATAAGTACATTGTTAAATCGTGCTTTAAAATGTTGTCGCTAATAAGCGTTTGCAATATTCGTGAATGTTAAAATAGCGTGAAAACAATATTTGAGAAGAAAATGAAATTTTTTAATTAAAAAAAAATTGTAATGCAAAGAAGAGAAAGAGATTAATATTGTTCGCAAGCGCACAATTGCAAATGCAGTCGTCTATGTCTAAAATGTAAAATGAAAATCTGAAAATCTCAAAGAAACATATATATGTGAAAGACTTCTTATATATATATATATATAGATATATAATATAAATTTTATATATATATATAAATGTTCTGAATATTTGATAAAAAACTGAGTCTTGTATATAATGTTCTGTATTTTATATATTATACATGTCAAATAAGTTTTATAAGAATGGGCAGATGTTTACGCAAATTACTTTTGTTTCTTGTGCGTAGAAGTACTGCGTGTGTAAATGTGTGTAACATTAATTATATAAACCAATATAACAACATATTAGCGCTAAATGTTAGCAAACTATGGAAAAAAACACTATAGAACATCGCTCTCTTGCATATTCTCGCGTCAGTCATTCGTCGCACGCACGCACTGCACACATTCGAGATGTAAATAAGATAAGATAAAAAAAAAAAATTACTTTCGATGGAAGCAAACATACGGAAGAACGTGGACGTAACGTTTAATGCATAAATTCTCGCGCAAAGTATTGCGTGGTATGTTTACTCCCAGCTCTTACTCTCTGCGTCGACTCGGTTATACCACACGGCCGCGTTTTATCTCGCGATATAATGTATATTCTCTATATATAACATTTATATGTCTCCCCGCTATAGCACATAGTTTAGGTACATGCCTTTTTCCGCACGCGTGCACTTTTAAAACGACAAAGAGATTGTGGGATGCCGTGTATCTTTACACACATACTTCTTCGAAAAAGAGTAGATACGTGTACATGGCACCAAGCGACATCCTTGAACACGTTTCCTAATAAATCTTAAGCATACAAAAATAAATTATAATAATATGATTGTGTGTCTCTGTGTGAGCTTACGCATGTACAGTGAATACTATGTTACACGTGCACATACACACGTACACGCAGCACACACGCATGTGTATATCCGTGCGTGCGCATCCGTGTGTACGCGCAACATATAGAGACGGTGATAGATACATATATATATGCATCTTTCTATTGCGTACATATGTATATGTATATATTTTAAAGTACGATACCCCTTAACAATTATTCGTGTGATTTTTTATACGGAGTACAATTCAAATGCTCATCTTTCTTTTTTACAACGCGTCTCAATGGAACACCTAGGCGAGAGTTGTGTGCCGATCGGAAACTTTGATCAACATGAAAATTTCGTTCGCGTGAAAAACCGTATCAATTTGTCGACTATATAGTAATGCATTGATGTACAACTAATGCCCGTTAGAAAACAAAAACGATATTTATCACATAATGAACAATGTGTAAAATATATAGAAAAAAAAGATGTACATCATTGGAGATATGTACATCAAGCTTGAAAACGAGTAGGCGCGTTACGTGATTTGCGTTTCTCCTAAGTGTTCCTACACTAATGAACCCACCATAGCGTTTGCTGGTGTTTGCTTTGGCTGCAGCAAATTACCTGCAACATAAACAAATAAAACGGTTATATGTTATATTCTAAAGGAATTCGTCGTAAATTTATATGACGAATCTGGGTTGTTGTGTGCTACGCTTACCTACGTAGTTTACAGAATTAAGTAAGTTACACGCTTGTGAAGGCACAAGATAAAACGACTAGGATCAACGTTAAAAGAGTTCCAAAAGTAGGTCGAAGAGTAGCTGCCGCGTTTTCTTTCCGTGCCATCTCAGGTGGGTAATCTGAAAAAGAAGTGAAGAAAGATTCTCAAGACTTGTAGTCTCCGTTGCGATGTATAATTAATTTAAAATAATGCTTTAAATTAATGCTTCGATCACTCGCAAGTTATATTAAGATTGCACTATACGTACCACCAGTAAACATATGCGGCTCTGACAGCGGAGACCATCCGAATTCGTTTCTAGCCGTGAGAATCGCCTCGTACGATCCAGGCTGAAGTTCTTTAATTAGGTGTTTTACAGTGTATTGGTTTCCTTTCTTCTTCTGATCTTTAACGTCGGGATTGACAGTAATCCATTGTTCGTCATCTTTGCGACGATATTGTAGCTAAACATATAAAATTGTGTGTATCTTTGTTATATTAAGTTTCACAAATTTTATAATTGTCACACACACACACACATATTGCACATCATAAATGTCAATAACATTAAACGTACTTTAAATTCCACGATTGGCGAATAACTCTCCACAGTCCACTTCAGGATTATTCCCCTGTCATCATCGGTCACCTCGGCTCCAGACATTTTTGCTTGCGAAGGCATACCTGGAATAAGAGTGTGCAAATAGAGAAATCACTTCAAGGCGAAAATATTCAAATGACGATATGAATTTAAACCACCCGTGATTTTCTCGTATTCATTGATGGTGATATAATTCGCAAGAATTATATTCAATTTTATAATATATATATGTATTATAAATATACCTGAGAGATTGACGATTTTCTCGCTCTGGCCATAATGATTCTCCGCGCGACATTTGTACTCGCCAAAGTCCCGTAATTTATTGTGCGTAATTTTCAAAACATGCTTGATCTTGTGATTGTTTGTCTCTCCGTGATGCATTACTATTTCGTTCTTCTTGTGCGTGAGTTCCTTGTCGTTTCTGTACCACTTCATTATTGCTTCCGGATAGGCGCTCACGATGCACGCCAACTCCGATTCGACCCCAATGCCGCTGTGAACTATCTTTCTCTTCACTTCTACCTCCGGCGCGTCTGTCGCAAACACGCATTGATCAATAACGTTATGTGCAAAATTGATTGTGTTAATTAATTCACAAAATCTGGCAAAGTTGCATATAATTAACTGAGTGATCAACTCACAATATACTACGACTCTGATCGCTTCTGACAATGGATTTTTCGAGCCGTCCTCGGCGAGACATTGATACAAACCGCTGTGATATCTGTGCACTTTTGTTATCGTGATGAAATTTCCCTCTAGCTTCAAATCGGGATCGTAATTACTTACTTTTTTAGTCTACGGAAAAAGAAAGCGCAACATTAGTTGTCTTTTTTTCTCTCTCTCTCTCTTTCTCTATCTCTTTTTGTTAGTGCGACAATTGATTAAGTCAATGTTTTAATAAGGTTTTTACCTCTATGAACCACTTGATCTCAGGCGGAGGCTGAATATTCGTCTCGCAGCCGAATCTGGTCGAAGTGCCCTCGACCACATTAATCCGTCTCGACGGTGTCACGCGTATTCCCTTGTCCATAGGATCGATCAGCACACGATGAATCAAATCTATGGTATAATTTTTCCGAATGATGATACTGCACCTGTAAGAGTCGGACGAATCGCTAACCGTCGCGTTGTAAATCACCAGACTGTTGTTGGGCATCCGCACGATTCTCTTCGGATCTGTCACATGCGGCTGCGATTCGAAATATAAGTACTTATCGTCCTTCAACCACGCGACTGCGTAATTGTCTGAAATTTGCGGTTAATTTTCTTATTCGAAGAAAACGTCGAAGTTAATGTGTAAAATTTAATTGAAATAACATTTAAATAACACGCGCTTGACTTTTTTTCTCTTTCTCTCTCTCTCTCTCTCTCTCTCTCTCTCTCTCTCTCTCTCAAAATTGTTGATTTACAAACCTGTGTGTTTAACGTTGCAAGGCAATATCACCGTAGATCCGGTTGTATCCCGAATACTCTGCGACCATGATAAAATTTCCGGTGGTGGCTCGTTAGTATCTCTTTCGCTATCATCGTCATCGTCATCGTCGTCCTCATCATTGATAGGCGTGTCATCTTCGTACTCGTTCTCCTCGATGTCGCTATTCTTGCTTGGTTTGCATAAACCTGAACAAACATATTACAGAGTCAATTAAACAACTTGTAAAACACAAATAAGAGTAAGTTTAGATAATTATCGATATTTTATCAATTTAAAGATAATATCATTTCGAGATAATATATTTTATTCATATCCTTTCTAAGTTTGACCTTGACAAGTGGAAAAAATTAATTTCACCGAAATTATCTATCGATTGCCTGCGGCGAATACATCCAGCTAAACCAACAGAATGTACACATATTTGTCCTCCGTAAAATCATGTTCGTAATGACGATAGGAGTGCCCCAAGGGATGCACATGTGCATTTGCGCAGGAGTCGTCAATTGGATCGGCGCAAATCAATCGGGTTTTCCCGAAGCGATGGTTTAATCGCAACGCGCGGTCAAACCGTTCGTTAATTCGCCGGGCCGCGAACACGCCGACCGAAAGTAACTCTCGTTTCACCAATTGGTTGAAACCACAAAACCGATCGCGGCCGCGCCGGTAACTCAAAATTAGATTTCTAGTGCACGACCGTGCTTGATTTTGAGACGGGACATAATAAATGCACGCGCACGCATGTATGTATCATCCCCCGGCTTTCTAATAATACGCGACCCCATATCACTCTTTTCGACAATGTTACGGTTTCCCGTCATCGCGCGACGATGCCAAAAAGCGAGCGAAGAACACGTCGCGCGATCAGAGACAGCGACGCTGCTGAGGAAGCCTTCGTTGTCTCTGCGTGTCGGTCGCCAGTTTGCCCTCGTTTTTCACGAGGCGCGCACTGTTTTCACGCTAAGGCGCGTTTTACACGTCGTTCGATTTTAGTTCGGACATACGTACGTACGTAACCACACCCTGCGCTTGGGAAAAAAAAAAAAAAAAAAATGGGTCGTGCAAGTCAACTCGCTCGACGGTGGTTGGCTGTCGAGCGAACGGCCAAGACGCATCCGGCAATTTCGCGGATTAAGATCGCTAAATCATCGTTAGTCGTGATTGAAACGGCCGCGGTTCGAACTTATATTGCAATTTGAAGCGTTACATTGATCGATAGACGCGCTCGATGGGAGTCGTTGCGCGTGGCTGCAATTCCGTTAATTAACAGTCGTCGCAAGTGACAAACAAGTAACAAACGATATAACATCGAAATTCCATTAAGTATATAAGGATGTAAGTAATACACAGGCATAAATCACCATTATGCCAGATATAAATTGTAGGATGTACATGCGCGATATAAATCAAATCGGTAACGAAACCGGCGATGATAAAACAACACGGTGTTTAATAATAATTATGGCGCATGCACAAGCGCCCTTCGTTACGAGAGAGAAAACGCGCGACGATAGAAAGAGAAAGAACCTCATGAATCTAAATTAATAGACCGTACATATCGACCGCCCCTGCTCTCTGCTGCAGCCCCCATTGCTACGACTCTATCTCTCGCACTCCCTTAGCAACGACCCAGAACACGCGGACAGGCGCCACGGTGTCCCATTGCTCAATCTATTGTATGTAGTTCCATGGACAACCCACGCGCTCCTTCTCGGGAGTCGGACTAATGTCATGGAACATTGCGCTCGCAGTTAGAATTCAGTTCGCAGTGCGCGTCGTTAAACAGCGTTGCTGCATTTGTTTTTCAAAACCTCTTCTATATCGCATTGATGAGTTTTTCAAAAAAAAAAAAAAAATTTAGAAACTTTTTGTTTCAATTTTTCAAAAAGCTTTTCAGCCTTTCATCAGTCTTGGCGAAAAGATCACGCTTCCATTTTCGCGAATAATTGAGGCGAGGTGATAGGGGTCGACGTGTTTGTCGAAATGTCAGAACACTGTCGACCTTAATTGAGTATACTGTTCGCGAAGAAGCGTAGCAATGATCCAAATTGATCAGGTACACGAAATACACTAAGGTGTGGTTTGCCACTGATGGTCTCGTTAAGGTCTCTTTCTCTCTCTCCGGCATTTTTAACCTAGCTCCTAGCTCCGTTACTTTCCGGACGGCACAAAAGTCCGACATAAGTCATAAAGATATCTGAAAAATGACTAAAATAATTTAGACGTCTCCTCGGAAAATTTCTCTCGAATTTTTCTGCCGTCTGGATCATCTTCACCGCTCAAATTTATTACAAGATAAGCTGCGTTGTTTGGTTTTCAGAAAAAATTCTATATTTTTAAAAATAATTCTGGAAAAAAATCTCGAAGTATACTTCGAGAAAACACACGATCTCTCCCTCGGTAGAAATCGATCAAACAAAAATGCATCATCGACTCATCGGATTGCGAAAAAAAAAATCCCTCGTTCATTGCGAGCGACCACATCCTCGTTTCCATTCGCCATTCGAATGACAACTGCGAGTTCTGCGGGGAATAACGGACGTGCGTGTAAACCGCAACTTTATTTTGCATTGAAGGCACGCGTGTCGCCACGCTCTCGGTGATGTCATCACGGTTGACAGCACAACCGAAAAAAGTGCCCGATCGCGTTGTCCGCGGTGTCCTTTTCGTGATCTCGGAGAACAACGAGACCGATAAAGGCCTGGAAACACGAAATGTCGAGAGTTTCACCCTCTCCTCGCACGAATCAAAGAACGCCCGTATAAATTACGCGAGAAGACTCAAAAAAGGACATTTCTCGTGTCGCGAAAATGTCAGGGTGCATCAGCAGCGATCGCGTCAGTTTCGCTGGGAGCGGCCTGGCGTTACGTAGGCAGAAATAACTTTCCTCGATGCGACGACGCGAGGAGAAGACCCCGGCGCGGTTCGTGGAATTTTCGACGGATCGGAGCTCAAAGCTGCTGACTTCCGTTTACGAGGCCGTACGCGCAGCCGGAGCTCTATTTGGATTCTACGTAAAATCGAACAGAATGATCGAATTGCAAGCGCAACGCGATTCTCCAAATCTAATTTCGACAAAACATTACACAATTTACAAACACGACAATTTACTTCTCTCGTAGAAAGTGTAAATACATTAAGTGCGAAAAGTTAAGAAAAAACTTAAGTAAAAAGTTGCATTTTATATCATTTATACGCGTTAATTTTATATTTCTGCGAGAAAGCGTAAAATGTCTTTCGAATCATTTTAGAAAAGCTGTTTGTCGCTGTTCGTCGAGTTTTCCGAGAAGGAACTTCAAAGCGCGATACTTCGCGCTTAGAAGATTCTTCATCGGATGACGAGAAATCCCACGTGTCGTTAAGGAAATCGTCTTAACAATTTCAAAATTCCTCTTATCGATCGTCTTCTCCCCTCGCGAAGAAGGTCACTCGTGTCTTTGTTTGTTCCGGCGAGTTTCCTTTCCCTTTCGTGGGAAGATATAACGCGTTTTTCGCCTCGAGAGTGGAAACCACGAAATTCCTGTAATAAGTTCACAGATTCCCACAAGAGGAGACATTGTTCTTGAAAAGCCGGCGTTTTGCCTCACCCCGGAAGCCGTTGGCCAGGTCTCTCTCTCTCCCTCTGCCAACATTCCGCCAGTATATATATCGAGGCCGCGTTTAGCGCCTTCGTCGTCTATTAGAGCGAAGTTCTTTCTCGGAAATCCAATACCAAGTTTTTGCAAACAAGCGGACAGAAAAAAATAAATGTGAAATCTTTATTTTTACACAATTATTTTAATTGTGTAAGTTTTTTATCGCAGAGAAAACTTCTATCGCGAGATGAGACGAAAGTTGCTAATGACTTTTCATTTTTTTTTTTTTCCTGACAAACCGACGTTGACGATCTCGCTGATACGATCTTTTCAAGGGCGTTACCCGAGTCGTCACAAAAATTGCGACATCGCGACATCGACGTTGAGTTGATTCGCGCGATGGCGATTTGACAACGTTTGACGACTCACGAATGTTGAATGGGGTGACGTCAGCCCCCACATTCTCTCACGCGTTAATGGATATTATTACCAGGAGGCACGCACTCATATTCCGAAAGGGTCCCCCGCGGCACACACGCACACACGAGCATATATACGCACGTGCATGCGTATGTACGTACATAATGTGTACATGCGCGAGGGAGGGACGTCGGCGACGACATGGTGTGCACAACGACGAAGCCGAGGGAATGTTGCAACGGTGTTGGAGTGTGTATACTAAAACGGGGAGTGCCATTGGCCGAATTGACCCGCGTGCCACGCCGAGTCTCCGAGAGTTCTTAGCGCTCCTGCGACTTGTTCAATTCGGCACAAAAGTATCTCGAGAATAAAAGTGGCTTCTCATTCTGCCAAGCCCGGGCGAAAAAGTACTCCGCGAACAATTGTCGAGACAATCCTCCTGCAATATACACGACATAGATGTATTTTTCTAATTATATCTTTCTTAAAAGATAACAAGAACAAATTCCAAGAAATTTGTTGTTTACAAAATATTGTTTTATATTTAAATTAAGAAAAAATAAAAAATAGTCGTTTTGAATAGAAATAAATTATATCATACATTGCATCAACCAAATAGTTTTCTTGAATAAAATTTTTTGGTTTCAAGATAATCTTTTCCTTGATATAAAAAAAACCTAAAAAAAAATTGATGATAATACAATACAATACAATTTACGTTCAAGAACATCTTTGCAAAAAACAAGATCAGCCTCGGGAGATTACAAGTGACATCTGATAATACACCTGGCAATATAGTCACTAGATACCAATATTAAAAAATTAGAAGCTTATCATTCATATTCATGCTATTCGTTATTTTGTATATTCAGACCATTCGGATGCGGTCAAACACGGCCTCGAACAGGTGAACGACTCGACTGCAATGAGACCAAAAGCTCACAGCCGTCCGAAATGACTTACGTCCCAGTTTCCGCGACGCTATATGTCAACGCGCGCGTACTCGGCTCTCGCGCCGTTCCTTTTATTTTCAAACGAATCGCGTTAATATCTTGCGAAGGGAGCGGCGGATGTCGTCTTCCTCTCGGAAGACCGTCATTGCGAACGACGAAGATAGGTGAGTTGCGCAACCTCCGAATGATTCCGAAGGAATATAATCCGCTATCGCCGCGCGACCGGCCGACTAGCCGCGG